GGCAGTTGGGCCGGTGGTGTGAGATGCCCAGCGAGGGGGCAGCGGGGCAGGAAGGAAGTTCTCAAAGATGCTGGGCAGGAGCTCTGCACAACTGGAGCTCTGCCACCCACGCCTCGGGGCCCGCAGCTCAGGGATGGAGAATCTGCCTCCGCGGTGGTCCCCGCCTCAGCCCGAGCACCACCCCACGATCAGAGTCAGGTCAGGCCCTGCAAAGCCACGACTGCTCAATCAAATAGCTGCCAGTGGGCTGCCCAACCTATAAAGCACTTTTAATCCTGATGACCAGCCAGCGAGGTGGGGATCATTCCCATTTTACAGATAGGAACACAGAGGCTTCCAGAGACAAAAAGACCTGCCAAGGTCACACAGCCTGTAAACAGCAAAGGAAGGATTTGAGCCAAAGTCTCTCTGATGCTGAAGCCTGGGCCCTTCCCCTAAGTCATCAATACTGCTTCCCTGTGGCCCCGCAGAGTGTCCGGAACTACAAGTCACAGCATCCCCACTTTGTTCCTGTTCCCCCGGTGGCTCCCCCCTCCCCTCCCTAACCCCCAGCTTCCCTCCCTGCCTGCTTCCGGGCAAGTCACATGCCTGCTGGGGCCCTGAGTCACTACCAGTGGGTGGCCCTGTCACGAGCCAGGTGGGCACATGTTGGGGGTAGTGGTGAGCACACCCAGCCTCAGCAGACCCAATACAGCAGGGAGATGAGCCCAGAGAAACAGCCCAGAAAGAGGGAGACGAACTGAAACCCAGTCCTGCCACCACTGGCTTTTCAAAGTCTTCTGTCTCATCCATAAACCAGGGTGATTATAAAGGTCAGATGGGTATTTTTGGACATTTATTCAATATTTTTTAGCACCTACTACTTACCAGGCACTGTTCTAGGCCCATGGTTCTCAACCAGGGGCAACTTTCCCCCCAGGGGATAGGTGGCAATATCTGGAGACATGTTTAATTGCTACAACTGAATGGGGGGTGCTATTGGCATCTAGTGGGCAGAGGCCAGGGATGCTGCTAAACATCCTACGACATGCAGGACGGCCCCACGACAACTCTACGGCCCAAATGTCAAGACTGCTGAGAAAGAGACACCTGTTCTAGGCTCTGAGTCTATAGCAGCGAACAAGCCCCTGCCCCCATCGTGCACTCATCCTAGCGGGAAGACACAATCAAAGTGAAAGGAATATAATAGGTCACGAGTGTTACGTAGGAAAACAAAACAGCCCAGGGCAACGAGAGCACCTGGTGGGGAGCTTTTACAGGCAGGATGGTCAGGGAAGGCCTCTCTGAGAAGAGTTCATCTGCGCAGAAGGAAGTGAGGGAATGAGACCAGGGGATATCAGAGGGAGGAGGATTTAAGGTGAAAGGGAAAGCTAGTGCAAAGGCCCTGAGGCAGGCGTTGGGGGGGGGCCTGTCTGAGGAACAGAGAAGCAGCCAGCATGGCCTAAAACTGAGAACTAAGCTCATGTGCAGAGTTGTATGTAACACATGCACGTGCGCGTGCACACACACACACCATGGTTGGCATCAAAACTCTTCCCCTCCCCCCACCCCCACGACTTTCCTGGCTACTCCTCCAGGAAGCTTTGGATGGTCAGGACCATCAAATGTTTCCCAGCCCTGGGAGGGACAGCGCTCCAGGAGCCACTGGGCCAGGCCCCACTCTCCGACACAAGAGTGCCAGGCAGCTCCTCAGCCTATCTGCTCCAGCGCCTTTCACACCCACTCAGCCTTGTGAGGAGGGCGAGGTGGGAAGTACTCTTCACGTCCACAGATGGGAAAACAAGGCTGACTAACTTGGCCCATGTCACAAGGGCAGTTAGGGGCACAGCCCAGGTCTGTGACCATTGGCAGTGTGGCTCCTGGAGGGCTGGGGCCGAGTCGTGGTCATTTCGGGGTCCCCAGAGCCCAGCACAGGGCTGGGTTTGGAGGTGGTGTCCATGAACGTCGGGGGAATGAATGGATGAATGACACTGCATTAAGGTGCCTGGCCACCTGCCCACTGCCCTCTGCAATGCCCGACCACTAGGCAACATCCTTAGTCGGCACACAGGTTCCCCTCTGGGCTGTCAGGCAGGGGGCAAAGGGACATCCTGGGACAGCAGGTATCTTGGATCACTTATCTCCACTCCAATGGCCAACGTCCCCAGGGCAGCCTGGGAGCCCCCAACTTCTCCCCTAACCCAAGCTAGACCTCGGGGTAATGAAGAGGCAAACAGTGGCCCCTCAGCTTCCAGACTTCCAGAGGCAGGTAGACCAGACCCAGCAGGTAGGGATCCCTTCAGCACCTCCCCAGCAAAGCCAGACTGCTGGGGCCCTGCCCATTCCTATCAGAGGGTACCAAGCACTCGCCTACCCTGCCAGCTTTACTGGCATTTGTCAAATGAATGAATGACTAGGTGAATGAGGGATGCATTCCATACCAGCCGGCAAACATAGCTTTTAAAGGAGGCAAAAACCCTGAGGGCAAAGGAGTCAGCCACACCTGCAGCCAGCTCAGGTCTCCCTGGGCTCTCTCTACAATTCGATCTAGTTACAGCCAACACTACCCAGTACCCGCCGTGTGTGAGGGACCTGGCTGGGGGCAGGGCAGGTGCAGCGAGACAGGCACGGGAAGGCATAGAGCAACGTGCGTTGGAATCAGGGGGACCTGCAGTCACATGCCCCCCACACACACCCCAGTTCTGTAATTCTGGGAAGTGTCATAACTTCTCCGGGCCTCAGTTTCCACATCCCTAAATGGGAACAGCACTACCCCCCTTTTAGGACTGGCTGCAAGGAAGGTTTCAGTGAGATTCTGTAGTGAAGTCCTAGCACAGCGCCTGGCACTTGGAGGTGTTCAAAAAACAGGAGCTAATATGCTGCTAATAAGGAGAAGGAAGAGGCCCCCGTAGTCCCTGCCCTCAAGGAACTTTCCATCTATTGAGGTGGACAACACAACTAGATTAAAAAGCAGAATGTAGTCTGTCCTTGCAAGAGAGGAAAGGCTCTGAGAGTTCAAAGAACAGAAGAGCAAATCCAACTGGGAGGAGGAAGGGCTTTCCTGGAGGGGGTGGCATTTGCAAAGGCCCTGAGGACAGGGGTGAGCGGTGCACCATGGAGAGGAGAGAGCGTGGGGTACACAGATACACGATGACCATGTGTTACAGGGTGAGGTGTACTGATGCAGAGAGGTGGCAGCAAGAACCCGGATACCTCACTCACTCCGGCCTGGGACACCTGCGGGAGTTTATGCTTTGGCCACTGGGAGCCATGGGAGGCTTCCCAGGCAGGGAGAGAGATGCTCCAGCTTGAGGAGGGTCTCCCCAGCGATGCCACCAAGAATCAGTGGGAGAGGGGGCACGAGCCAGGAGACCAGCTAAGAGACGTGAAGATAGAACCTGGAGGAAGGAACCTGAGCTGACCCGGGAGCTGGACAGGAGGGGAGACAAGGAGAGAAAACCCCTCAGACAACTCCCGGGCTGGGTCTGGTGTCCTGCAGAGAAGCCATGCGCCTCCTCCCTCCAGGGGCTCACATGCACCCAGGGTTCACTGGGGCCAGATGATGCCCCTGGAGGCCTGAGTCTGTGCCATGACCCTGCAGTCAGGCTGGGGACCACAACTGTTGGGATCCACACTCAAAGGCTCTCAGAGCTGGGACTCTCCTGACCAGAAGGCCACCCAGGTCCTCTTCTGTTTCCAGGACAACCTCTAGGGCAGCCCCCCAGGACCCACCTTGGCACCCACTGTGGGTGAGTCAATTCTGGTCTGACAGCCTCCATCCTCCGCCCTCGAGAACTGGACTCTACAGATGTCCTTAGCCTTGGCCAGTGAGTCACCTCACATTACCACATGAGCCATGTCACCTCCCACCTTCCTCCCCGGTCAAGATGTCCAGGCGGGTCAGCACCTCATGTGCCTGGCAGGGTAAGATCATGAGGAAGGGAGGAAGGCACACCTCCTCCCCAGCCATGGGGGGGGGGGCGCCGCGGAGAGGATGCCCCCTTTGAAGGAAGAGCGCCCCCCCCCAACACGCCCTTCCATGAAATACAAGGAGTTCTCTGAGCCTCAGTTTTCCTTCTCTATAAAACAGGGTTACTCTGTCTTCCCAGACCCTGGAGACAGCCAAAAAAGGCAAAGGAGGAGAATCTCTTTGTAGACTCTACCTTGCTATTGTGGCACGCACAGTTAACACTGAATAACAGCTCTGGGGTCTCTGCTCTCTCCACTTTCCTGGAGCCCCTTGATAGCACAGCTGCCTTAATAACCAGCCCAGAAGGTCTCACTCATCTGCTCTGTCGCCAGAGCTCAGGCACAGGACCTCCGGAGAGGTCAGCTCACTGGGGCCTGAGGACACTGTCTCCTCCCCATTAGCCCAGAACAGGCTCTGAAATGGCCGCTGGACACACCAGGTGGGTCCTGGGGAAGGGATCTGAGCAAAGGGCACCGGAGGCAGCCACAGTCCAACTGTGCCCTTATTAGGCGCTTACTGCACACCTGGCCCTGTTCTTTCAGACGCGCGGACCTAGTATTTCTAAGAAAGAGGAAAACCATAGCCCAGAGGAGGAGGAAGTCTTCTGAAGAGGGTGGCCGCATCTAGAGTGGAGCAGCGGCCCAGGACAGACACCCACCTCCCCCGCCGCAAAGGGGAAGGCTCGGTCGGGGCAGTCGCAGGGGTAACGGAATCGGGGTCCAGGGTTTAACTGGGATCCGCCCAGGGCCCGCCTGCCAGCCCCAAACGCCCTAGCCTGCGCTGGCGGAGGGACCGGGGTGCACCCTGGGCCATGGCGGCCAGAGTTCCGCGCCCCGCGCGCACGTATGCCAAACCCGGGGTCCCCGGCGCACGATGCGCGTCTGACCCGGCGTGGGGCACGGGGCCTCGGGGGCCTCGGGCGCCCCGAGCCCCCTACCCCTGTCCTGGCCTCCGGGGAGCGCGCGGCCGGGGCACCCCGGGGGCGAGTGCGCGCCAGCCCGGGTGGGCATGAGGGGCGAGCGCTCCCCGTGGGGCCGCGCGAGTCACCCACCTGGGCCTGCACGGCGCGCCCTGCGGCCCAGAGCTGCAGTCCGACGGCCAGCGCGGCCCAGACGGCGGCGGGCGCCATGGGTGCGGGCAGCGGCCGAGCGCCGGCGGGGTCCGGCCGTCCTGGCTCTCGCGCCCTCGCGCCTCCTCTCGGGGCTCCGCTGCGCCCCGGCGCCTCCGACTGAAAGCAAAAGCCGGCGAGCCGGGCGGCTGGAGGGAGGCAGGGGGCGGGGCCTGGAGGGGCGGGGCCAGGCTGCGGGGCGGGCCTCTCGGACACACCTCCACCCCCTCCTCCCCCGCTCCCTCCCCCGCGGGCTGCTGGCACCACCAACCGGACTCTCGCCCCCGCAGGGCCGAGCCTGGGCCCAGCTCTGCCAACCTAGCGCTGGGTAGACACATCCAGCGCCAGCCACGCCCAGCCTTCGGTGACGCCTCAACCTCCTTCTAACGCCCCCTCCCCTTCGAGTCACCCGTCCCAGTGGGAGGACAGGAGACCCGCATTGGGGACAGGCTCCGACCAGGTTTGTGGCTGCCCCGAGGCTGTGCCTCTAGACCTGCCCAGCGTCCATCTACCCCCCTACCCCTCCCACCTCCCGCAGGCTCCCTACTCCCATGGGGGTGGGGCGCTAATTTGGAAAAACATCCCACAAAGCTGACGCTGGCTCTGGGGGCAGCACGGGCGTTCTAGATCATTCACTCATTTAGACTCTAGAGCCAGACCACCTGGGTCTGAATCTCTGCGTTAACCTCATAGGATTATTCTGAAGATTAAAAGATATATAATACACATAATATAGTATATGTTATATATGTATATATACTTACAAAGTATATATGTAACTTAATAAGCTCTGTAAACATGTTAGCTGTTGTTACTATTATTCATTTGTTCATTTATCCTTACACATTCTTCAAGCCCTCCTCAGAGTGCGCCAGACCCTGCCCTGCCCTCCGTCTTGAGTCCCTGGTCCAGGTGGCTGAGAAGTAAACAGAGGTGGGGACAGAAAGCTGTCCAGCAAGTTGTAGGGGCCCCCAAGGGGGATGGCTTCCCTGGAGTTTACTTCATGACTGGGCACCCACTCTAACTGCCATCTCCACCCCTTCCCTTTGAGTGCCAACCCTAACGCCAGGGCCAGCCCTGTGTGCCAGAACATACTCCCCCCGGGCCTGAGAGGTCTTGTCCCCAGCACACAGGGCATTTCTGAGGGGTGGAGCGAGCAGGGTGGCAGGAGGCTGTTCTGTTCCCCTGTTCCCTCACTGCAGGCTGCCCCAAGAGGTATAGGGACCCCTGCTCTGGGCCACCAACTGCCATGTTGGAGACAGCAAGGATGGTGTTTCTAGGTGCTGAGAAACTGGGAAGTGACTCTTGGGGGATGGAAAATCCCACCTCTTGATCAGGAGACTGGGAAATCACCTGGTTCCCATGTGTTCCCATACGTCTGAGATGGGCCATGCTGAGGGTGTGGCTAGCACAATCCACAACCTTAACTCTGCAGAGAGGGTCAGCCTCTAAAACTACCTAGCAGGAAGATTTCTTCTGGCCCTTACATGTCTCACCTGGAAGCAGTTGAGAGGGCTCCCTGATCCGTCAGAGAGAGCCCAAGGCCAGGAGTGGGGTGTCACCTGGTGCAAGCAGAGGCACATGGTTCTCCCGGGATGCCCCTCACACACCTCAAGCCCAGTGGGTTCCACTGACTCATCCTCTCCAGTGGGTCCTCACCCCAGTGAATGGCACCATCGCCACCCAACGTGGGGATCTTCCTGGGATCCCGCCTCCCATTCCAGCTCCCCCAGCTGGACTCCAAGAGGTGGGTGACAGCCAAGTCAACAGGAAAGCAAGTTCTCTGTCTAGTGATTCTGTAAAGGGTATTTAATACCCAGGAATTGGTTGTAAAGATGTTTAGAGAAATTAAAAGAACAGTTAGGAGAGGGGAGATGATTGAGATTAGCAACCACAAGAAGCCGCCGCCGCCTCTGGGGCTAGGAGCCAGGAGCCAGGGCATCTGGGGGAATCTGCAACTGCGGAGGGGACAGACCCACTGCTGGCGACACCACATGAAGCAGAGAGGAAGGAAATATCCTGGCCTCCCCCTTCCTCCCACTCTCCACTTGCCCACCAGTGCCTCCCACTGGCCAAACCCAAGACAGGAGCCATTTGGGAAGGGAACCGGGGAAATGTAGTTAGTAGGGTCAGCCCCTTGGGACAGAGAGCAGAGCAGGGCAGTGGCAGGGCCTGGAGCCGAGTGCAGGCAGATAACTGGCGGGAGTCTAAGGAGAACGTCATGCTCCCTGTTAAACTTGCTTTGGGGACCTGTCCCTTCCCAGCCTCTGCCTGAAATCTTGGGCAGATCCTGTAGCTTTTCCAGGCACTCTCAGGCAAGAAACAGATGGCAGAGTCTAGTCCTGTCTTGAGAACTCATTAGAGCACCAATCTCTCATCTAGTGTGGACCTTCTCCTTTCTCCAGCTGGACCCAGGCTTGGAACCTGCCTGGAATGGGGAGGGCCCAGTAAGTTCTCTCTTGACTACCAGGTGTGGTTGGGGAGAGGGTTTTGGGAGAAAAGGGCACAGTGTTCCATGACAGCTATAACTGTCACCCCCCCCTCACATCGGGCACTTTGGGAAGCAATTTCTGGCTCATTCTCTCTGCGGGCACTTTTGCAGGCATCTTGGAGACCTTCTCGCTGATTCCTCCGACCACAGCTCCCTGGCACCAGGGATGCTTGATCCTCCTGCTGGCCACAACTTACCACATCCTCTCTGTCTCCTACCGGAATGGTGGTCCTTCAGGCTTCTGCTGAGGCCTCCTTCCTCCATTGGAAGCACTTTGGCTTAGAGACGGCCCACGGCTGGCTTCCTCCCTGGAGTCCCTTTGCCCTACGCCTGTAGCAGCCCAGCTCACACCCCGTGCACCTGCTCGCTCCAGCTCTGCCGCCTCAGGGCTCTCTAGCCTCATGCTCTAACTCGTCACAAACCCTTATCGAACACCTGCTGCGTGCCAGCCCTGGATGCTGGGCACTCAGTAGTGAACAAAGCAGACAAGAACCTCCCATCAGTCTGTGGTCCCTAAACTCCTGCAGTATCCAGCTCTCAGAGTGGTCCCTTGTAGCCCCTCCAGCTGGCCCGAGATAAAGGGAAGCACCCCACAACCCCCAGAATCCGCAGTGGGCACTCAGCACAATGGCAGCTCCTTCCCCAAAGTCCTTTCTCTTGGCTTCCCCAGCCCCAACATCTTGTTTAGGCTGGGGGTAAGCAATGGTAAATTCTGAGTGAACCATTTGCCAGTGAGTCTCTTAGCATGACCTGCACAGGTGGCCCAGAACTCCCTCTTTAAGACGGGGTTTGATCTTGGCACCCACCGTATTATAGCTGCCATTGGAGGTTCTAGTAAAACTCATCGACAGCACGGGCAGTCCCTTTAACGCCCTGCCCCAGTCTCGATCACCTGGCCCCTCTCCTCCTGCCCCACAGCCCAGCCCTGGCTTTGGCCTTGGCCGTTTCTTACTTGCAATGCTCCAGTGGCCTCCCAACTGGAAGGCTCTGTCCTTGTAATCTGTTCTCCATGGTGTGGCAGGGACAGCTCTCAAAAGCATAAGGCAGTCACGTCATTGTCCCTAGTCCAGTAGTTCTCAACCAAGGGGCAATTTTGCTCCCTGCCCCCCCAGGGTAATTTGGCAATGTCTGGAGACATTTTAGGTTGTCACAATTGCAGGGGGTGTGGGGAGGTGCTACTGGCATCTCGTGGGTAGAGACCAGGGATGTTGCTAAATATCTTCCAATGCACAGAACAGCCCCCACAACAGAGAATTATCCAGCCCAAAATGTTGGTAGTGCCGAGGCTAAGAAACCCTGCCCTAGCCCAGGGCTCCCCACAGCCTTCAGAATTGAGCTCAGCCTCCTCAGCGAGATGCTGGAGACCTTCACGTCCTGGCCCAGCCTGCCTGCCAGGTGGATCTCCCCAGCTCCACACTCTCACCACCCCGGACTCCCCGAATAACCCCCAGTTCCCTCCTCCATGCCTTCGTCTGCACAGGTTCCTCTGCCTGAGATGTCTTTCCCTCCCATTTGCTTGGTGATCACCTACTTGTCCTTCAAGTTGAAGCCCAACGCTCTCTCCTCTGTGAAACTTGCCCTTAACCGCACCCCACCAAGCCAGGCAGGGTTTGGTACTTCTACAGACCTTTAGCATGACACTCACCTCCATACGGTTAGTCACTTACATGTCCCTCTCCTATCTTAGTAATTGTGATACTCACAGTTACGGGAAGTCTACTCAGGGCCAGATGACTTGCCAACGTTGTCTTGCAACAGAGGGGTCAAGCTCTATAGCAAGCTTTCACTGCTGGTAAGGGGTACAGCAATTCAAATCAAGTTTCGCTGCCTCCATAGCCAAAGAGCTCTGCTCAGCTGGCTGCCTCTCACACTGCTGGACTGTGTGGGCCTCGAGGGCAGGGGGACTCGATCATGGTCCCCTCTAATTCCCTGGTGACCAGGTGATACACAGAGGGAGGGACTCAGTAAAGTTGAAGTGAATGAGGACTGCATATAGGACTAGTGTATGCAGGAGTCAATAAAGGGATGAAGAAATGAGTGAGGGAAAGAATGAGTGAGTAAGTGGATGAGTGGATGTTATGGTCGAGGCCCAGGAATCCAGTCTAGCCCAACCACTCCCAGGCCGTACCCACTCAATTCAGTCTCCCAGTCCATTCGTGTCTTAGACCCCAGCCCCACCATGCAGAAAAAGCCCACTTGGGAAGATAAACACATGGAGAAGGAGAAGAGATTAGTGGTTACCAGATGAGGTGGGGAGGTGGACGAAAGGGGTAAAGGGGCACACATATATGGTGACAGATAAAAACTAGACTATTGGTGGTGAGCACAATGCAGTTTATACAGAAATTGGTATATAATAATGTACACCTGAAATTACACAATGTTATAAGCCAATATCACTGCAGTAAAATAAATAAAAAAAAAGAAAAGGCCTGCTTGCTCTTCAGTAACGGGTAACGAACAGGCTTCCAGCAGACAAGACTGTGGCCCACTGGTCCCCAAGTCAGGGGCTGCATGCACAGGATCTGTACCCTTGGCCTGGAGCCTTTCCTCGCTTCCCAGTGCAGCCCATAGCCCTCAGAGAGCCCCCCACCGTCTCACACTCCCAGCAAGCTGATGCCTATTCTTT